AATTGGAAAGGACAAGCAGCAACATGTGTCATTGCAGTTCCTGACAGAACCAAGTGAAGAGAAGTGGTTAGAGATGTATTTGTTTGTTTGCTTAACTTCTTCTGTTGTGTTCTTGCTCTGTAGGTTCAGGCATGCAGATTCCAGTGGTTCTCCTTTTCTTGGGTCTCTTAACTGTCCCAAGCAGATCCCAGAACTCAGCTACAGCGCAGGTGAGTAGGAGACAACACAAGGAGAGTGAGGGAGAGATACTTGGAGCAGGTAATTCAATTTTAGAGAATCTTAGGGCAGGATTAAGCACTACCCTGCCAAGTTACTAGGATTTTATTTAGCAACATAATGAGACTAACTCCTGCTTTATCTAGATAAAGCCTTACGTCAGGGGATAACTGTGAGGCAGAAGTAGTGGATTCCAACCTGAGTGCTGCCTTCAGCTTTAATAGGACACTTTGTAAAGTAACTACACTCTCTGTTCCTACACTTTAAAGTTCCTACACTACCTGTAAGATTAAGCAGCTCACAGAAGAGGATCTGTAGATTCCTTGCCTTTGAAATACTTATCACAACCGTACCTACCCTTGTAAACTAAGTCTAACCAGAGTGCTCACTGTACCTGCTAGAACTCTGCCACTGCTGATGGAGCTGGTGAGGTTGAAGAGGAAGATCCATTCTACAAGAGCCCTGTAAATAAGCTGGCAGCTGCAGTCTCCAACTTTGGCTATGACCTGTACCGGCAGCAATCTAGCCGGACAGCCACTGCTAACGTCCTGCTGTCTCCATTCAGCCTGGCTACAGCACTTTCTGGTCTCTCACTCGGTGAGTTCTTGCCCCTTGCCCTCACGTGGTGTTGGGTTTGACAGACCTTCCCTCACACTGTTTGTCCTTGTCATTGGCAGGGGCTGGAGAACGAACGGAAGATGTGATTTCTCGTGCTCTCTTCTATGATCTGCTTAACAAAGCTGAGGTCCACAATACTTACAAGGAGCTACTGAGCAGTGTGACTGGGCCAGAGAAGAGCATGAAAAGCGCCTCCCGTATCATCTTGGAGAAAAGTAAAAGTCCTTCTTCCCCTCTATCAGATCTTACCTCAATAACTAGCAGCAGGTAGAACACACTGAGTAACACCACACTAACAGCTCTAGCTCTGACATACTCTTAAGCCAAGACGCAGACAGTGCACGGAATGCTATTCCTGCTCCAGAAAAGCCTGGAAGGTTTGTGTGCACATAAACAAAGACTTATGCACACAAAGACACTGGTGACACAGCAGCAAACAGAAGGAAGACCTAGAATAAACTTGCTGAGGATTTTGCCTTCACTCCAGGGTTTCTGGCAGGTGTTGCTAATTTCCAGGAACCACAAATCCCATTTTCTATTTGTGATAGCATTCAGCCATATTCCTTTGTTTAATTCCTTGCAGAGCTAGTTGAAATGTCTGCTTTTGGCATGAAATAAACATCTGCTCAGACAGCTAAGAGCTATCTTTTGGAACCTGCGGGTTCCAAGAATCCAATAGGTTGAGTAAGCTGTACTCTTAAAGCAAGCTGGAGAAAGAAGAAAGACTGATGTGTAGGAATAGCTGTGTCCAAGCCTTCTGTTCTTATCTCCTCTCTTTACTTTTCAGAAAAGAGTTATGCCACATTCCAGCATGGGTGGCTATAGGATTTGGATCAGTTTCCTCAATGTGCCTTCAGTCATTCTTCTTCAAAGCAGGTTTCTGTATACACACAGCCTCAGATGTTTTATGAGAGAACTGCTGCTGGGCTTTGGATTGCAATCTGCTGCCTTGAGATTGTTGTGATAAGGGAGCTAGCTGCAGTATCAATGTTTTTGCTCCCCAGGACTGAGGGTGAAGCCTGGATTTCACAGCCAGCTGGAGAAGTCCTACAGGATGCGTCTGAAGGCACTAAGTGGCAATACCCAGTTAGACCTCCAAGAAGTCAACAACTGGGTACGACAGCAGACAAAGGGCAGGATTATGCGGTTTATGAAGGACATGCCCACAGATGTCAGCATTCTCCTTGCTGGGGCTGCTTACTTCAAGGGTAAGAATGTTGTGCACTTGCTCACAGAAAGGGTCTATAAGTTTGTGTTAGGAGAGACAGGAAGGAACGCTCCCACTTCAAATAGAGCAAACAGACTGTCAAAGAGACAGTGTAAGAAGAAAGTGTTTGAGAACACTTAGCAAAGAACAAAAAAAAATGCATGCTACCTGAAAAGAGAGAGTCCTCAAGGGAGGAATCAGTGCTCTTGGGAAGCTGAATCTTGACCTGTTTGCAGGAAGAGATCAGAGAAGAAAGCTTAAGCACACAAAACTCCACAGCAGGAGACAGAATGTTGCCATTTAGGGAAGGCACAGCTTAAAGAGTGTACTGAGCCTTTTTACCACTGTAGAAAGGGAGATAGTAAAGGCTGTTCTAGAACATGCTGTAAGGCAGGGTCCCGGAGAATTACTGCTTAGAGACAAGGAGCAAAATAAAGGGTGGGGAGAGAAGCACTTTATATGCATTGACACAACTGTTACCCTTTAAAATAGTTTTGTAATTACATAAGTAGAAATCAACTACTCAATAGCTACTCCACCCATACACTGGCTTGATTTTTTCATTTCCCATTTAGTCAATCCTCAGATGAAAAGGAGGAGCCAAAGAGTGGCAGTAAATCAGTAGCTTTAATCAGTCTATTTCCATCCCTATCATCATTCAGTTATGCCTCCACTCTTAAAAGCACAAATACTGTATATATAAAGCACAAGATTACTCAGCCACAGACACAAACCTGGTTTCCTATGCTATTATTCCAGAAATTCCTGCATTTTTATCTTTTTGAAAAACAGGGACCTGGAAAACCAAGTTTGACACCAAGAAGACTGTCCTGAAGGACTTCCATCTGGATGAGGGCAGAACTGTGAAGGTGCCCATGATGTCAGACCCCAAAGCCATACTGCGATACGGTTTTGATTCCGAACTCAACTGCAAGGTCAGAGAGCAAATATTGCACAAGATCTCCTAAACCTACTGAGGAACAGGCTCAGCTACACTTACCTGTTAACCCACACCAGAAGACAGCCTCGCTCCTCCCATCAGCCTACTTTTGCAATTCCTATTTTGAAAGGCTGCATGTTGATTCTTTAGAACATCCCACTCCTACGTTGGCTATGTGACAAGCAGGCCAGAACTTAAATAACACACTGGTCCTACTACCCTGTATTGCTTGACCGAAAGTTGGGCAAGAAGGCAGAGCACACTCTGCCAGACTTCCATCTCTACCTCTTTCAACCAATCTTTCACTGTAGCATGAGCTCAAAGGTGTTCCAGATGAGAATCCCCCAAAGCAATACTGCAGCTCATTACAGGGCTCAACAGGGGAGAGACAATATTTGCCATGTAATAGCATGGGTTGATGAAAGCCTGGGTGCCAGAGGGGTCAGGAAGCATCACGTCCCATAAAGCAAACAGGGAACAAGACCAAATGTTAACTGGAAAGGCTGACCAGGCAGTTGAGATTCAGGCCTGGTACAGGATGGGTAAAACTGTTTATTATTGATGCCACCCTTTCTCATTTGTAATTTGCCTTCCAGATTGCCCAGCTCCCACTGACAGAGGGAATCAGTGCCATGTTCTTCCTGCCTACGAAGGTGACCCAGAATATGACTCTGATTGAGGAAAGCCTTACTTCTGAGTTTGTTCATGATGTAGACAAGGAGCTGAAGACAGTCCATGCTGTGCTGAGCTTGCCCAAACTCAAGCTGAACTATGAAGAGGCACTTGGCAGCATGCTAAAGGAGACAAGTATGTACATCACACAGCCTCTACAGACTGCCAGGGCTCAAAGCAGTGGGCAGGTTGCTTCCTGCTCTCAGAAGAATATGAAGCTGGTGGGTTATTAGTTAGGTCCTGCTGTCTGTGTAGAGATTTCACCAGCAACTAAACCACTTCGGTCCAGAACTCTTCAACTTTCCATCACACCTTTCCACCAAGCTCATACAATGCTTCTGATACTGAGAGGGAGAAGCTCAGTAGAGACAGATTAAAGCTCTTCCTGTGCCCTCCTGGATCACAGCATCAGCAGTACTGCTCCATCTGCAATCTATGCTTTCAGCTAATGGCATTTTCTTTCTCTTCTCCAGGGCTCCAATCACTTTTCACATCACCTGATTTTACCAAGATTTCTGCCAAGCCTATTAGCCTATCTCATGTGCAACACAAGGCAGTTCTGGAGCTTAGTGAAGATGGGGAAGGATCCACACCAAATCCTGGGGTGAATGCTGCTCGTCTGACCTTCCCCATAGAGTATCACGTGGACAGACCCTTCCTTCTTGTACTGAGAGATGACCCCACTGGAACCCTCCTCTTCATCGGCAAGATCCTGGATCCCAGGGGTGTTTAGATCCCTTCACAATAATCTGCAATGGTAGGGCCCAAATGGAAAGGGTGGTATTGGGAGGCATACTGGCTCCCTGCTCTGCTGCACAAAGACACAACTTGCAAATCTTATGCCTTCATGCTGCAATAAAAAGAGCTTTTGCTATTAATCTCAGTAAGCCCCAGTATTCTCCCTTGAAAGATTGTCTGCCTATGTCATATGCCTTCACGCTCTTATTTTCCCTAGATGAGCCACAATTCAGTTCTGTGTGCTACACCATCTGGTGTATACTGCATTTTCCTGTCTTCCAACCTGATGCCAGGTGTTTATACTGAATCCCTCAGCCCTTCAAGTTCTGCAGTGTCCCCTCCTATAGCCTATAAGTTTGCAATTCCCATCCTGCTGCCTCACCCATTCCAACCATTTACATTTCGTGCTGACAAGAAGCAAAGTGCTTCACAGCATTAGAAATAAAAGGCAGTGTGCTCTGGATGTCTGCATGTTCATAACCATCAGGGTACAACCCATGGGAGACTCCCATCTCTAGAAACACAGGCATACACAAGGATCTCAAAAGTTTGCTTCAAAGGCAGGAATTATGCAAGAGCATCTATTCCCACCATACCACACACAGACCCTTATGTTACAACTGGTCATTTTATTTACAACAGTCTCACTAGAGAGCATTTCAGACTTCATTCAGGTTGTTGTTACACATGATTTTCCAGCTTGTCCTACACGACTACCTTACCACATGAAACTTAGCTTTGATGAAAGATCACACTGCAGCTTCTTTTGACAGGGAAATTAAGTCCTCTGAAGGATGCTTCTGGGAAGCTCTAACAGGCAGGTCTTCATCTCTTGTAGCTCCTGGATCTGAGTACTCTGTGGACCACAGTGCACCAACAAAATCTCCTCTGCTCTTTGAATCGTGCTCAGAGCTTCAGAAACTGCAAATCTGAAATAGGAAGAGAATAAGAACAGAGTGTAAATACACTTAGTTCAGCTCTTTAACTTAAAAAACCTTTAACCCCTCCCAAATAAAAACCTAAACCTGTTCATGGGTACAGATCCTACCCTCCACTGCTTTTCAGCACTAGCTGTGCACTTCAGCTGCAAAGGGAAGATGGGGAAGGGAAAGGTAAAGAGATGGACAAAACCACTTAAAACATTATCTTGGTACTCACTACTTCCTCACTGCAGCTCCCACTAAAATCAATTCAGTTACAAGGAGGTGTTGTGAGAAGATTTTCAGAGGCAGTCAGGGGATTTGCTTGCCCAAATAGAGCAAGAGGATTTTGTTTCCTCCTTTGAAAGGATGTCAGCAACATTATACAACTGAGATATAAACACTAAGGGTGGGTATTTGTCAAAATAATAGGGCAGGGAATAAATGGAGCCAGTGAGAGGAAAAGAATAGACAGGGACAAAGCAGAGAAATGAGTCCAAAGAGAGTCATGAGGTATAAGTGATCCCCAGTGAGGTTAATGAACTTGCACTTGAGTAATGGCCAACTTTTGTACCTGTGCCAGCCTGGCTGGGGTCCTGTGAGACACTCTGGTGATGCCAAGGACCACTTCCCATGATGCTGGGTCAGACACACAGGAGTGGGGCATGGAAGGGATGGGACAGAGAATGAAAGCAAATTTACCCATTGAAGAGAATTTGGGCCAGCTTGAAAAGTTCATGACCTATTTCTACACTTGATGGTCCATGATGCATTTCCACAATCTCAATGCTCCTCTGCAGGTGTCTGGCTGCTTCCTGCCACTTCCCTGATGGCAAAAACAGAAAAACAAGAAATGAGTCATGAATAAATACTTTCTAGAGCTACTGCCACCCAAAGAATATGACATTATGCAAAATGCATCCACAGCGTGCTTGGGAGGCTGCTGACCTCAGAACAAGGACAGAGGATCTAGAACATGAGATGACATTAATGTTCATTGGCTGTTGGGGATGCAGTTTTGGCCAAAGCACTCTTTCCAAAAGCCCTTCTGTCAAAATCAGAGAAATAGACTAGGAAACAAGGGCTGGTCAAAGAAAAGGCAAGTCATGTTAAATTCAAAGGTCAGAAAACTAAAGCTAATGAGAAGACAATGCCATACCAAGAGTAGCATAGACCTGTGCCAGATGATCCTCCATCTCTCCCATCAGCAAATGCTCTGGAGACAAGAGGTTTCCAGCCTTCATCTGACACTTCTGGAGCATTTTAATAGCCTGATCTACAACAAAACAGGGTACAAAATTAATCCTCCTAGCCAGTTTCTAACTTTCCATGATCCAGGAACTAGTATCAGTCCAATCTCATCTTTGCATCTTACACAGCTAGATTTGGATTCAACATTGACTTCTTCTGCAACCCTGCTTATTATAATGCAGTGCTGGCCTGATTCACCCCAGGAAAGCAAGGCTTGGGAATGTGTAACTCCAATGTTACCCTGAGTTCTTTAGGTTACTATGGAACAGCGTGTGACTTAGATTAACACCCGGATCAGGGGTATAAAAAACCTAAAGCTCAAGTCCCCAGGGACACCAGGCTGCGTGCCAGGAGACCCCAACTGCATAAGCAACAGTGCCATCTCATGGCTAAAACTATGCCTCCCGATGTGCATTCACTAGCTGCTGACCTTAAAGCTGAGCCTTACCAGCCTTCCTGGCTCTTAGCAGCTCTAACGCATTCTTGATTTGTTGCTGAAGATCCTGCAAACGGTGTGACAGGCTCTCTCTGCTGACTGAGATTGCACAAGCTTCATTTGAACAGCAAAGCATGTCCTCCCCCTGTGGAAATCATCCCTGTGATCACTCCTGTTGCTTGCCATCTCTGTTATCTCTGCACTGTGTTATAGAGAGGCTAAATTGTTTCTCAGTTGCATTCATTAAACAAAGTGACTTGCTTTTAAATTGCTATTGAGTTATTTGATTTGATGATAAACTTCCAGGAATAGCTATTACTATGCGAGGTATAGATTAGGCCAAAGCAGGGTATGTGATACTCAACTGATGTTCATACAATACACGTACTGCCTTGGCTTCTCCTCATGTTTTAATTCACATCCTGTGAACTGCAGAGTGTGACTCTCTCTACATACAGCCCCTGTATGCACATCTTCTATTCTAGACTCCAGGCCTTCATTTTCTTTCCTATATATCTCCATTCCCCTAGAGTACATCATTGTGATATTCCCAAGTTCTTTCATCAAGTTCAAAGGGCTTTTAACTTGCTGTTAAAGGCATTATTTTCCCTATTTGCTGACATACAAGAACATTACAGGAAAGCTGCTAAGCACAGTGAGATACTCTCTTGACTCTACAGGGGCTTTTGCCTTCTGAGCAGAGATCACAGACTGAGCTCTTTAACTCTTGACTTTCCCAAAGACCCAAACACATCCCTGTAAGTTATACAATCGCAGCTATGGAAGAACTACCTGCATTGGAGCTCGGCAGGTAGGACAGCAGAATGAGTTTCTCATGGCCACCACACTCTTGACATCAGACTCTAACTCTTCAAGGCAGGCCTGGCAGCGACACTCAAAGAAATACTGTCTGAGAAGCTGTTGTCTCTCAGCAACCCTCATTCTACATCGATGAGGCCCTGTGAAGGGAGGCCAAGGGTGTAGAAATCTCCACACAGGTACAGTTCTTAACATCAGACTAAATATATCTTTGTTACACTTGAGACTAGACATAGCACCTTTTAGAGAAGACATAATTGAAGACCAAGAAACAGTGGGCTCAGGAGATACGATTTTACATTGACATCTTTGATCAAGGCTTACATATAAGCAACATTATACTGTGATTTATGATATCAATAGTAATCAGTTAGCATACCAGTAGAGGTGAGAGGATGTTTGTGCCTTGAGACAAACAGAGAGTTAACCTTACCATAGCAATGCAAAACCTCTTGGCCACTTGGGATTGGCTGCGATGCCCTGACAGTGGCAGCTGTGCCACTAAATGACACACTGATATTGGGCGAGCAGGAATGGTTCAGGAGGCTGAGGACAGGAAAGAAGGCTGTCGCCAGGCGCACAGGCTTCTTATTTACAACAGCACCATCTCCGGACCCTGAAGACAGAGGAAAACCAAGAAGGTTGAGAAAGAAAGCTCAGTAACCAATGCAACTTCTGCACCGAGCACTGTGACCAACTGCAGAGACTGGTAGAAAGGTTTCTGTATGTTGCTGCAATAAATAATAGCTATAGCTAAATACCCTCTAGCTGTGCACCAAAGAAGAGGCCAGCATGGGACAGGCCATACATTTTAAGCAAGTCATTCCCATCTGCAAAGGGAGCTTTCCAGAACTGAGCATTCAATCTCTTTACACAAGCTGGATGAGTAAGGGTAACAGAGAAGGGCTTTGAAGTTGTTATCTTACCTGCCTCCTGCATCACAGTGATGGCTTGTGCATTACACTGCAGCTGCAACACATGCCTCAGCATTGCTTCTGCCACAGTCTTCAGCTCTGGAGACAATTCACTCGATGTTTCTTCACAAGGCTTTGGTCTGGACCACTTCTTAGATGATTCCTGATTGAGAACAGCAGCCTCTAGGCCAGCTTCTTGCAGCTGTCTGCATATAGCTACGACACTCAGCATGCAAAGGAACTTATGTTCAGGGCTGTGCTTCTCAGCATGTGGCAAAAGGTTGAACACAGCCTGGTAAGAACTCTGGTACTGACCATCGTTGCTACAACCAGGGATACCTCTGGTACCAGCTCTTGTATCTGCTGCTTCGCTAACATGTTTGCATCTTGCCTCAGGGTTATGAAGGTCCTTGTTATCATCATGGGACCATTCCACCAGCCTCCTAACCTCTGGAAAACCTGCCAGTAGAATAGTCCTGAAGGCAACATGGCAGAAGACCCCTAATGTGAGAAGCAGTGGTCCCAGGGAGCACTCTGTCCTGTGGTACTGCTCCCAGGCCGTATCTGCACACTTCTGGCTGCAATACTTTGCATAACTGCACCCACAGCAAGGCACTGAGGCCAGGAGCTGCCTCAGACACCGGTGGCAATAAAGATCTGCATTAGTGACTCGAGTATCCCATGCTGTTTCACTGCTGTCCTGCAGAAGAAGGCTCTCCCCTGGGCAGAGCACGCTTACAAAGGCCTCCTCTTTCAACAGGCTCTGTCCTGGCAGGATGTCCTGGGAGGCCACCAAGTGACGTCCTCTGTCTGTATCAAAATTCAAGCTCAAAGATGAAGATGCTCCTGAAATGCTGTCATTCTCTTCCCAGATCTCTGACTCTCTTTGAATGTCACCACATGCTTCTCGTGCAGGCTCTGGGCAGGTCTCCTTCTCGTGTACTTTTACCTTCAGTTGACTTAACTTTTCTAGCAGTGTCTGCTGTGTAGGGATCGTCATGATCCCATCCATAGCAATCTTATTCTCTACCACACTGAGGGCACCAGCTGCCTCCTGTAACCTCCCCAGACGCAGCAGACATTCAGCTTTCCTCAGCAGCACCTTGGGCAGCAGCCTGTCCGGGTAGCCATGACTTTCTGCCCTGGCAATATCTTCCAAACAAACCTAGGAACAAAGACAAGGCCATCCAAATGCAGTCGAAACCAGCTGAGACTTGCACTCTTAACTCCATCTAAGATGCAGAGTATTTGAATAGAACCATGGAATGGTTTGGGTTGGAAAGGACCTTAAAGTTCATCCAGTTCCAAAGCAGGGACACCTTCCACTAGAGCAGGTTGATTCAAGCCCCATCCAACCTGGCCTTGAACACTGCCAGGGATGGGGCAGCCACAGTTTGATGATCAATGCCCATGCACATTTGTTGGCCAAATAAATCCTGACACAGAACAAGAAGCAAAGGAGGAATCCTTCAGAAAGTATTGACGGATGCTTTAAGCACTGCTTCAGAAGCACATCTGATCTATTCTAACAATCAAATACCCCTTACTGCTGGGTTTGCACCTGAACCCTGCGTGCAGACACTGTGGTTGGCTTTTGCAAATCATAGGTGTGGTTATGTGGATCTAACTGTTTACAATAACAGAAACAAAGCTGGCTAAAGACACAAGATTAGACAACAGGTTAAAAAGGGTCAGAAGTCTTGAGCAAAATGGAGTCACATAGCAAAAGAATTTGTAAAGATAAAAGAAAGAAGGGAGCTTGATATAAGAAAAGCTAGTGCCTGAAAAGCATAGAGTTAAAAGTACTTTTTAGTTTAACTTAGGTTGTAGAAAGACAACAACATTTATGTTGCAAGTCTGTGGAATGTAGCGGCCCCGCTAAACATGAGTTAATTGTTTCACACCAGTCTTCTAAAGATACTTTAGTTTTAAAGAGCAATGTTTGTGTTGTAAGTCTGTGGTGAGATAACAGGATTTAGTGGCCCCACTAAACATGAATGAGTTGTTTCACACCACCCTTCTACTCATCAGTTAGTTTAGAGACAGAGCCTCCCAAACATCTTCTAGCTTGGGATATTCCTTGTCTGCCCATCCTGCAATAAATTCTGCAGGAAGGTCACACTGGTTTACATCTTTGCTTTCTCAGAATAATTACAGATATAGCTGGTTGTGTGATTGCTGGGGGGTCCAACTGTGCCCAAGGTGAAAAGTACACCGTGAGAAAGACTGCTTACTGCATCTTGAAGACCCCGTGCTCACAAGAGGAAGACTGTTTACTTCATCCTCAGGACCCCTGCCCACAATCACCATAGAGCAGTGCGCAGACGCCAAGAGGAGGAGACTTATGATAATAGGTTCCTAGAGCTAGTTATAATATCCCCTGCCTATATGTGGGAATTATGAACATGCATGAAACTAATGTAATAGTGAAAGCATATAAACCTGTAACAAATACTGATCATTCCCGCCTCTGGCTATGGTCATGCGCCCATTGCTTTTGCTTTAGTGACTTTGTCCCTCAATAAAACCTTCTTATGTTGTTTAGAGGAGTGAGTTCTTACTTCACGGAACCCTTCAGAAAGTAACAATGGATGCTTTAAGCACAGCTTCGGAAGCACATCGCATTTACCCTAACAATCAAACACCCCTTACTGCAGGGTTTGCACCTGAGCCCTGCATGCAAGCACTGTGGTAACACCTCAGAGGGTGCTCGGCCTCATCCCCCAGCCCCACCTCTTTAACTACACGAGGCCTGAAGCCGTGTTCTGTGCATGCAGCCTTGCTTGGGGACCCCCAGGAGCTCGGCGGTGGGGCCAGGGCCAGGCCGGGCCCGTTTCCCTACCACAAGTTACCTCAAAGCACCCCAGGTGGAAGAGGGCAGCGGAGCGGTTGGCGAAGCACAGGGACACCTCAGGGCTGCCGGGGAGCTCATGGGACGCCGCCTGTGGGGAGCAAGGAGCTGCTGCCTCAGCGGGAAGGGCCCTCAACGGGGATCCCCTCACGGGTGCATCCTTTCACGGAGGCCCCAGGCTATGAGGGCCCCGTCCCGGGGGCTGCCCCCGCCCCACGCACCTGCGAGTAGAGCCTCCCGGCGGCACCGTACTGGCGGCGGCCGAACAACCGGTTTCCCTCCTCCCTGTAGAAGCGCGCTGCCGCCGGCTCCTTGCCCGCCCGCGCCCGGCGGCATAGACGCTGCAGGGCCGCCGCCTCCACCTCAGGCCTGCAGGACACGGGGGGGGGGGGGTGTCAGTTCCGCGCTCCAGCCCCGCTGCACTCCGTCCCACCCCGCCCCGCGGCTCACCGGAGCAGGCCGCAGCCCAGGCGCACCGTGTCCTGCAGCGACGCCGCCGCCAACCGCTCCCGTAGCGGCGGGTCCAGCGCTGCCCAGCGCCGGGCAGCACACAGCTGCCATTCCTCTACGGGCAGTGCCATTGATACCGCGATGGCGGCGCCCAGCCGTCAGCGGCACGACGCTTCCGCCGTACAACGCTAAACAACCAATAGGAACGCTTGTCTTGCCGTCGTGTGGCGCACGCACGGTGGTGATGTAATCGCGCGCCGGAAGAAGGAGGGCCGGCTCCGGGCGGCGGGAGGATTTGGCGGTAGTGGCGGAGCGCGGCTGGGAGCGCAGCACCATGAACGTGGGGCTGAGCGAGGGCGCCATCGCGGTGAGGGCTGAGGGGGGGCTGCGATGGGGCGGGCTCGGGGCTGGGATGGGTGAGGGCTTGTGGGGGCAAGCCTGGCCCTGGGGAGAACGGGCCCGGCCCGGCCCGGTCCTGAGGGAAGAAACCAGGCCCGGAGCGGGGCCTTGCCCTGGGAGGCAGCGTGGGATATGGCCGGGGTCGGCAGTTCCCGTGTCTTTGGTGGTTCCAGTGCGTTGCCCCCTCAGCTGTGGGTCTGGAGCGCTCCTGGCACCTTTCTGAGGGTCTCCTTTTCTCTTCTCCAGGCCATAATGCAGGGGGAGAACGTCTCCAAGCCGGTACTACAAGTCATAGTGAGTACGCTGCGTTGCCTCTTGTCCGGTCCTTTAGTGAGTATGGGTGCTTCCTTGTAGGCTTTTGGGTGCAGCCAGGCTTCCTTGTTGAGGAGCTAAGCAAGGCTGATGTAATGTTGTTTTGCATGGCTATGCTTTTGATAACAGTGCTTAAAAACCCAAAGCTAAGCTGAGTAAAAGGTCACTTGTTAATCATGTCTTGGTTTTGAAGGGTTTCTGAATAAATAAGCATTAATAATCTGTTTTTTCCCCAAAGAATACACGGGCTATTGCAACAGGAAATGGGCCACCACGTTACCGAGTGCTGATGAGCGATGGGGTGAACACACTGTCCTGTAAGTATGACAGGGTAATGCTAAGGGCACTAAAGATCCTGGTCTAATGGCTAGGTGCAAAGTGAAATGAGAATTGGAGGAGAATGTGGCTTCTATGGGAACCACACACTCTGAAGCATACAGCTGCATTTTAGCATTTAGACAGTCATTCTGAGACTTTCTCTGTGAATTTTAGGCTCACAAAAAAGAAGAATGAAAATACAGAAGTCTGTGTGTATTTTTGTAACCCTTTTAAGGCAATTTAGCTTAATATTTCTCTGACTTCATTGGCTATTTTAGCTATTACTACACCCTAAAGTTTGGGAAAATAAATGCAATGTAGCTGATGCTTGGTTTTGGTATCTTGTCAGTGGTTACACTGTTTTCTGTGTGTTAACTAACTGAGCAAGTTATAGATTTAATGCAATACTAGGCTGGCTGGAAAAGTTATAGCCAGCCATGGCAGCCCCTTTTTAAGGCTGGAATGTGTTAATTGTTTTCATGTTTTCCTTCTGTTTCTGCAGCATTCATGTTGGCCACGCAGCTGAACTCTCTGGTGGAAGAGGAACGCTTATCAGCACAATGCGTTTGCCAGGTTAACAGGTTCATTGTCAACAGCCTGAAAGATGGAAGGTATGTATGTTTCTTTTGAGCCCAGTCCTACAGAAAGGCAGCTGCACTTTCTGTAAATGCTGAATGCTTTTGATTGGGATTATCAAATGATGATGAAAGTACTAAGGTGCAGGAGGGACCATGCACAGCGCAAGCAATAGCAGAAACAGTGTGGCTGCAGTGGGTTCAGAATATGTCTAGTACAGTGGTTTAGTAATGTAAAGTTCAGTTGGAATACTCTGAATTCTACATAGTTTTATTAAAATTCACTTAAAATTATCTGCTGTGGAAAAGAAACTGAAGATTTCTTCTTACCTAAATGGTGTGGAATCTGGTCTTTCTTTTAGGAAAATTTGAGGGAAGGGAGGTAGGATACTGCAAAACAAGAAGGGATCTGAGTGACGTGATTAAAGGGAGACTATAATAGAATCCCAGACTGGTTTGGGTTGGAAGGGACCTTAAAGCTCATCTAGTTCCGCCCCCCTGCCACGGGCAGGGACGCCTTCCACTAGAGCAGGTTGCTCCAAGGCCCATCCAACCTGACCCTAGACTATATATGTGTCTAGGAGAATATGGACTGAATTCATATTTGGGGGGGGCCTAAGTAGACAGAGCTTTTGTCTTCCAGATTCCTCATCCAGAGAACCAGTCCCTAATGGTTGGTTCTCTTATCTGCTGCAAAGGGTATTCAGAGTGTAATAGACTTGCAGAGAGAAATCTTTATTGCTGTCTATTCTGTGTTTGTAGGAGAGTGGTTATACTGATGGATTTAAATGTTCTGAAAACTGCTGATAAGGTTGGTGGGACTATTGGCAACCCAGTGCCGTATAATGAAGGTGAGTGTCCTCTGTAAACAAATAGCTTTCTGAACAGACTGTTATGGTAGCTTTCAACTGGCTATTTCACTTTAAAAGCAGCAGTCAGACATGTGCAGCTTTCTTATGCCTGCAACAGATGTCCAGGTCTTGAAATCCTTTCCGTATGTATAACACAAAATGGGTTTTGTCCATACTTTAAGAAACTCTTCACTGTGGCTGAAGATGCAGTCTCTACATGGTATTGAGAAGTATCTATACCCTATGATAACATTGACAGGCTTTTATTCCATGTTAATGGTCTCTCCCTAGAGTTCCAGTAAGTATGCAGCAGCTATTCTATGTCTCCTCATAATGAGTAATCAAATAGATCATAATTTCTTCTGTCGGGAAAGAAAACAGGAGGAGGAAGATGTAATAATGATCTATGAAAGTATAAGACGACGTGGAGGGGATGAATAAAGAATGATGAATCTCTCTTTCTTTTCTGCATTCATTTGATGCTCTTGAGTTCTTCTATTGTCAGGTAGCGGTTTTAAAACAAAGGCTGTACCACATCCCCTAAACCACAGAGTTAAATTATGGGACTTGCTGAGGTAGCTGCCGAAGGTTGGCACAGGTTCAAAAAGCAATTAGACATGAAAGAAAAATCCATTAAAGGCTGTTAAACATAACAATACATCCTTTGCATGAATGTTGGGTTCAGGAAGCACTAAAACTTAAGATTGCTCGAAGTACATAGAGGAGAGGATGGCATGAAAACAGGGCCAGCATACAGACCAGACTTCCCTAAGCACCTATTCCTACCCTGCCACCTGGAAAACCATGGTACCCTGGGTGCTGCCATGAATCTTTTGGGTTTATTATATTGCATAAGTAACTGTGGTGTTCATTTTCATGTGCTGAGCTCACAGTTCTTAGGCAAGCATTTGTTTGAATTGATATGTATATATATATCTTCCCTTCCCCTGAGATGCATTCAGAAGTAGGTTCTGTTCTTCAAATTCTAGTCTTTAAAGAAGAGAGGATAATAAGCACTCAGAGAATATGTTTGAACAGCTCTGTCATTGATGTATTTACAGATAATTGCTGAAATTTAATAGCAAATTGCTTTTCTTGATCCCACCCCAGTGGAAGTGAACTAATATCTTTTTATTACTTAGGGACCACGCATCAGTGGCAAAAATTGTCTGTAGGATATTTTGGACAGACAGCAGTGGTAGGTACACTGCTATTCTGGTTAAAAAGCTCTTTTACTAATAGAGGTAGATATTAGACTTAGTTGTGAAGGCAGAGACATCTTTCTTTATTAACTTTTCTTTTTTCCTAGGGAATTAAAGGGGCGTTTGTTAAATGAGCCTAAAAGAATCCTTTGTTCCTTTGATAGTTACTTAGCTAATTGCTGTTTAAAAAATGTGTTGACATCTCAGATTTTATGGTTTAATCCCACAGTTGCTGTAGAGACCAAGATATTCGGAATAGCTGTGGAGCAGACTGTTTTGTGCCTTTCTCCCATTTCCCTTGCTTGTGTGGTACAAGAGCTTGTGAACTATAGTGTTTTTCAGTTATATTGTTGCTTAGAAACGCCTGAGAATGTGCTATGTTACAGAACTGAGCTGAAAATATACCTTTAAGACTGTAAATTTTGGTAAAATTACCATGACTTTGATCAAAGTTGTGTTCTTTGTGTGGGTTTACAAAAGTACGCAGCGATGACATTTTCAAATCAACACTTTTGGAGATGCTACGGGTCTGTGAGCATTGTAAGTGTGGTGTTGCAGTAGGTAGTTAAGAGATGCTGGATTTGAAGTGTTGTGCATTTCATTTTAGCTAACTTTATTCTGCTGATCTCATACTGTTTTATTTGATACTAAGGTTTCATCTACAGAGGACAGTAATAGTTTAGTTGAAGTGTGCTTAACATGCTTCTGCTCTACAGGGCTGCCTGATTTTGTCATGGAGGCCTTGGTAAAATGGCAGAGGTATATTTCAAGTTGCAGATTCTTTAAGTTCCTGTGTATACCGAGAGACTGTGTTTCTGAGAAACACTCAGCTAAAGCACAATGAGTCTCTAAAAGCACTTTGTGGTTTTCATGGAGAAAAGTTCAGGTATTCTAAAAATCCCACTTTTGGTCTCACTTGAAGTACGGATGTCAAGTTGCTAGATCTAGGATTAAGGAATAGTCTTTCCTTGACTGTAATACCCCAGTAGGACCCAGGGAATGAGAAGCTGGCTTTTGGCCACTTTCCGTTTGAGCAGTAGGTGGTTAATCTGCCTAACAAGGAAACTGGAGACACAATCTTCTTAATACATATCATAAGAAAAGAAACCCTTTTCAGGCAGCATTTCATAATAGTATTGAAAATGAAGACTGAGCAGGTTTTCTTCTTGTTGAAAACTAGATGGTAATGTTATTACTGTCATTAATCTCATTCAAATTACTCTGGTGCTGGACTTCCTTCTTACTATGACAATTACTTGCTACTTATGTTGAACTTCTGTCATTAATCTTTCAATGTTGAAGTGTTTGTGTACTTACACATTCACTTGAACTCTCTTCTTGCCCTTCCCACCATTGTGTTTTGGTGTACATGCTTTCAAAGTGTGTTTTCTTTCCTCCTTTCCCCCCCTCCATCCTGCTGCTCAGTTCTGGGACTGGTTTTCTGTCACCATGGCTCTGTAGCAGTACCTGCTGGCAACAAATTATTGGAAGCAGAGGATGATTGTTCTACAGCTATTAAATAAGAGTGGGCTGTGTTCCTGGCTTTAGCTGAAGGTCTTGGGTTTGACTAACGCGGGATATAGAGCAGAAATGTCATTAGGTATTTCAAGTGTTTTCAGCTTCTGGTAATAAAAACTAGCAGTGGAAACCAGGCAGAGGAGTGAGTTTTCTGAGCACCTTGAGTGATCTGTAGGCCACCAGCCACCAAAAATCATAGTTTGAGTCCTTAAACTCTACAAGTGAGAAAACTGGAGAGATATTTCTGCTACTTCTGTATTTGAACACATGCAGAAATGTGTTAATATATTCTTAATCTGTTGAGAAACACCAGCTATGGGTGGGCAGCCCTCGAAATGTGAATGTGTGTTTCGTAACACGCGAAGGTTCTAATGTATGTAGTGGTCTTTGGTTTAGTTTTTGGTGTTTGGTTTATTTTTAAACCCTAGGGGGGAAAACATTTGGAACAAAAGTAGCAAGGAAATCTCTTGCTGTTTCATAGGCACATCCCTCTTCTTCAGTATCCTTCCCCTGACCAGGCATTTTACTTTCAGTGTGTTTTGTTGGGTTTTTCCCTTTCTTCTCTCCTTACACAAGATGGGTTTAGGGTGATGAGCACTGACCCTACCTGGGTCCTCCCCATACCTGAGGCAGCTGAGGAGGGTGAAATCTGGTTCCTCCATCTAGTGGATTCTGCAGTAAATACACATTGCTCTTTGACGTCACTGTTGCCAGGGAGATTGCTGTCACCAGCTCACCGATGTGACTCTACTGCGGCAACTTAGAGGAGCAGACTGGGTTTAGTGCAAGGACCTTGTTCTGGATTATATATAAGCAGAGGGTTGCCTCTGTAGACTGTCCAACGTCAAGTGATGCTGCATCAGGGTGTCTCTGTGTTGCTCCTCCTTCCTTCTGTGCCATCCTTTCTTGCCCTTCTGTATGGGATTCTATGGTTTTGCTCTTTGTGTTGCTTATGGCTTAGTCTTGACCTTCTTCATCCACTTTTCTCTGACCATCTTCCTCGCATCCCAAAGCAGGGAGGTTTTGCCTGCTCAGGCCTAGGACTTCCTGCAAACCAATGGCTGAAGCATCACTTGCCTCCAAAGAGATGGGAAAATGTTGGCTATTTTCTCATCTGGAGGCAAAATAGGATAGGACAAGTATTCTGTAAAGGAATTTAAATTTTTGAACGGTAGATTAGTCTTCTAATATACTATTTCTCTAGGTAAGTCACTGTGCTCTTTCTTGTGTAATTTATCATCAGGATAAGGCAAGTGAAAGTCCTGGAATCTGAAAAATTGAACAATATGTACTTACTATGCCATCACTTTTCTCCCTGTGCAATAGACTGCTGCGTCCCAAGAGGGACCCTGGTGAATGCTGAAATGACGACTCCATCACACCCACGTTAAATATCTTCATATTTTGGAAATAAAATATAGCAGGTGTTTTCTTTGTCTTATGTTAGCTTCAGGTTTGACTTTCCCCAGTGGGTTTTGACCATTTCTGAGTTTCAAGAGGGAATTCTCCTACAGGTTTTTTTTTTTTCTTAGCTCTTAGGTAGTAACAGAAACTACCTGTCAGAGCAGTGGAAGCCTATCACCACTGAGAAGTTGTCAAGATTACTTCAGTGCCGTCCTTTTAAATAAGTGTCAACCCTGAGTTCTTTCAAAGTAGAAAGCAGTCGCTTGAGGAAAGAGGTCTGACTGAAATTTCTCCATGGTAATATGGCTCCACAGAGAGCTTGCTACTGCTGGGTCTAGAACACCTGAATTTTAGCACGTGTTCTGTGTTTTAAATGAACTTTTCTTCATGCCAGTCTTATTTCCTACCAAGGTTTAAAGGTAGTTTTAATTACTGTGCTCCCTGCTGTACTCTGTGGTCTCTCTTTTTGATTACAGGGCAAGGGCAGCAGCGTTCCTCAGCTCCAGCGGCAAACGCAGCACCCGGCAAACCACAGCAACCAAATGGCAATTTGTCAGTGGCAGGTAAGAATAATCCTGGGCAGGGATTCTGCTTTTCATTTCTGTGGTGCAAAACTGTAGTTTAAATTAGCAAAAGAATGTTTCTGTGATGGTGTTGCACAAGAAACACTTCATTAACCACTAACCCATAGCTTGACAAGATGAATTCTCTCAAGAGGCTATTGTACACTTGGATTTAATAATAAATTCTTAAAAACAGGGGGAAAATCTGTTCCACTTCCTTCTTCTTTCCCAAGGGGAAAAAAAGGGGGAAAACTGATGGCACAGTATAAACCGAACATCTCGCCTGATGGAATTCTGCCTTCTTGAAACAGTGCTCTATGGACACCCAAGCAGGCTGCAGTGTAGAGCTGGCCAACAGACGTGTTATGCTTGGACCAAACAATTTAGGTGGTACAGGACTGACGTTATTTGATAGTGTATCTATAAATGCAGGGGGGTTTGATCAAGGCTCTAATGAGATGCTGAAAAAGGCTGTCAATTTAAATGTCAGCTTGTAGACGTTTTTTAAAGCAGGAAAGATGTCAGTCCTAGCTCTTGGTGCTGCTTTAACTTGTCTGTATTCTTTATCCATGTGTTTAAGAAGTAGTTTAAATAGTAAAATTCTGACACTTGCTTCTTGCAGCAGAAAACAAGCTCTTCCTTCCTGTACTTAAAGCTGATTGTAAGAGTTTTATGCTTATACATTGACAAGAATGAGTTTAGAATTAGCAGTATTGCTTTGTGTCAGGAAATTATTTGATTATTTGATAGTGGAGTACTATTCCTTAGTTATTCCCTTAAAATAGTTCTGAAGTTTGATGTGCCATATTTCAGATGATTTACTACTAGCTAGCTGTTTCCCTCTTAAACATGGTTTAAGTGATTGACTCTGGACACATCCCCACTTCCAATGTAAGCGCTTTAAAGGTCTGAGAGTGTCTAGGAAATGCTTGTGACCAAGAGTAGAAATGATTCCATGAACTTTTAGCCGTGCTGTGGTGTCCATGTGAATGGAGCTTTAGGTGCCTCCCCCATGTTAAGTCTTCTGCAGGGCTTCCCATAGCTTGGAGGGAGTAGTTCTGCTTCACCTTGCACCATGAGTTGGTTTTCACCTGGCTTTTGCCTGCTAGGCTGAAATTCTCTGTGCTCTGCTGTGGTTTTTGAAAGGTTCTGCTGCTCCAAAGTACCACCCTCCCTCAAACCAGTTTGGTAAATCAAGTGCTCCCAGCACCATGAAGACACCAGGAGGATCACAGGCCAAAGTAGTGCCGATTGCCAGCCTGAATCCATACCAATCCAAGTGAGTTGTTGTGGTGTGCCAAGTATTACTCAATGTCACAGGCCTGAAGGAACAATAGCTTCTTTCTGCTTTCTCATGTGTGACTCTGTCAAATTGTTTTTGGAGTTCTTTTGACTTCATTGGTTAACTTTAAACAAATGAAACCAACAATAAGAGCAAAACCACCCAGAGAAACAAACAAAAAAAAATCCCTTCACAGCTGTATGGGCTTTGGTTTGGGTTTTGTTCCTTGTTTGGTGGGGGGTTTGGTGCTGTTTTGAGGGGGGGATTAATTTCATCAACGCTCTGACAATCTAAGGTTTGCCTCTGCATTGTCTTGGTGAAGTTCCCCTGCTGAGCATGATAGGTTCTTAATATTTTAGTTGAAAATCAATTGACTTCTCTTCCTTTTTTTTTTTTCTCCTAAAGCAACCTTTTTGGTAACTTAATGACAAAACAGCTCAGTAAGCTATTCACTTCGGCTACTGTTCTGTTGAAAAGCATGAGGATGTAATTATGTCGTGAATGACATTTTTAAGTTATGCAAACTGATTTGATTACCCGAGTTAAATGTGAATCCTATAATTGAGCTCTTGAGTTCTAGCATGGCTTTTCAGAACAGGCAAACTGCTGTCTGAGAAATGTACCCTGGAAGAGTCAAAGATTTGAGACCTGCTTCTGTGCAGAAGGATTGTTTGCCATTATTATCATATGAGATGCTTTATGGCTGGCTTTGTTGCTTTCTCTACAGCTTTCTACCTTTAGTGGTTTAGGCCATTAAAATGGAAAGCAGCCGAGGAGCAGGTAAGAGTTGCTGAGGTGCAGTGGGAAGATTCTGGCTTTTTAAAAGTGACATTCCAGTTCTAAAGGTTTGTCAATTCAGTCTGTTCTTAATATAAGAAACAATACACAGAACACTGATTTCTTGCATGATTTCAGGTGGACCATCTGCGCTCGTGTTACCCAAAAAGGCCAGATCCGCACATGGAGCAACTCCCGTGGGGAAGGGAAGCTCTTTTCTATAGAGCTAGTTGATGAAAGCGTAAGTGTCACATGTTGAGGAAAAGATAATGTATGCCAGATGCTGATGAGCCCTGCATAAAAACAGACTAGGGGAAATAAAGTATATTGTAGGAAATGGTGCTTCTTATTACAACTGAAGCTTGTGTTTCTGTATTCATTAATTGAGCATCAATGACCCGGTTTTACCCAGAATCGAGTCTTAAATGTCTGGTGTTACTGATTATTTTTCATCAAACTCTATCATCTGTGACTGAATTTTTGCAGCTTCAAGATATAGTTGTTTATGGAAGCTGACAGCCTGATATTGAGGTTTGTGGTGGGTTTCCTGTGGATTGAGACCGAGGTTTCATCCTTGCTTAGATCCACCTTACAAAACAAGGAGTGAGAGGAGCACTGCCTCAGAGTTATTATAAGCTTTCATTTCCATGAGGAAATCAGAGTGCAAATTATTGTAATACTAGGAAATTTCATCTGTGGTTTGTTTGGGGAATGGTATCTGGTTAATCTAACTAAACTTGCAGTTTGTCAGCCCTCTTATCAAATTACAGCCTCCCGTCACGAAAACAAACAAGATTCTGCTAGATTATGTTTAGTATAAAATGCAAGGTTAATAATGTAACATGGTGCCATCAGCTATTTGTTTCCTCTGCATACTGTCTCTATTCAGATGTAAAAAAAACCCAACCCAATATTTATATCCAGCAATTTTATAATTGTTATTAATTCTTACTGAAAGACTCGACATATCATGTGTGAGTGGGAGACAGCACAATATACTGTGGGCTAACTTGTGGAGCTGTGGAATCTATCTGAATTTTCTCTTTGCATGTAATGGCAATCAATGCCAGGTTTATGAGTACCTCTTCAGAGGTTTATATATATATGTCGCCCTGACGCATTTCATTCTGAAGCTCAAGATAATACTAATGAGACCTGAAAATGAGATTTGATGGTCAGGTGTAGAACAGGTTGTTTTATCTATAACTACAAATGTGAGGAGAATGTTGTTTGTTTCTCGCATGCCTAGAGCTAGCCTGGCAGACCACATTGTGTCTTGTAGAACTGATGCCACTTAACATTGCAAAGATTTCTTTTTAGTTTGTTTTCATGCTGAATTTCAAGCTCTGACCAGCTCTCCTGTTTTCCTGCAGGGTGAGATTAGAGCTACTGCATTCAATGATCAAGCAGACAAGTTCTTTCCGCTCATTGAATTGAACAAGGTATGGTAGCATTGTGCTTTCGCAGAGTGACATGAGCTAGAAAAGAGAGGATTTTTAAAGGTGAACACAATCTATTTTCTGTCTCTGACTTCTGATAATATCCCCTGTTTCATTGCTTTCTCCTGTAGGTATATTATTTTACCAAAGGCAATTTGAAGACTGCTAACAAGCAATATACAGCTGTTAAGAATGACTATGAGATTACATTCACTAATGAGACTTCAGTTGTGCCCTGTGATGATGCCCAGCATCTTCCATCTGTTCAGTTTGAGTTTGTATCCATCTCTGACTTGGAGAACACACCCAAAGACTCAATTGTTGGTCAGTCTAAGTAGCAAAATGGCAAGCTTTAAAGCTTTGAAGTTTTACTTTTGTGTCCTGAATGCTGGGGAGGTAGTGAGCATACAGTGCTTCTAGTGGCGCGATCTCTTAAGTAGCCAGTGGTGGTTGCCATTAAAAATACCTTGTGCAGCATTCCTGTTAGGATGCCTTTGCCCTCTTCTGCCAACAATATATAATAGCTTTCCTTCAAACTCGTGCTTCAAGCAAGGGCCAGTAACTGATACTTGTTTATTGTACTACGATTACTGTTTTGCACAGAAAAGGGCTGAGAGAAAAATGTCCTTGCTCAGCACGTGTGCGTTTCATACCTTCTGTGGTCTTGCTTTCTTTCACTATCTAATTATCTCTGTAGTGATGCTGGCATGATTCGTTGCATCCAAGTCCAAGTTGCATGACTGTTTTGGCTTGCTCTGTGAAGTATTGGAGGTTTGTTTTTCTGTCATTGGTTGGGCAGAGTACTCCGGAAAATCAGAGGCTGGGGTGGGGGCGAGGGTTCTCAGGTTTCTCAGGCACAAGATGCATGTGATTCAGAGGCTTTCAGCTAGCAGTATTAAAGGTAGATCTGTAATATTAAAAAACAGGATATATTTAAGGGGTGCAAAGAGGATGGTGCAGTCTCTTACTCACCCAAGCATGCAGACTTAAGTTTAAATTGCACATCACAGTCATGGGGCTACAGTAAAGGCACCAGCCAGTTGCTTTACAGTTGTGTTACAGTCACTTTGATACCTCTTGCCTGAGAGACTTGTGTTTAAACAGCGAGAGTGAGTATTACAGGATCAGGGCTGAAATCCTTTGGCAGAATGTGATGGGAAGAGATAGTACAATGCCTTGATCTCGCTAATGTGCTGAGGCTTGCATTCATGAATATCTTAATGAATTCATCAACAAAATTAAAGCACTGAAGAGTTCTGTAGTGGAGCATTCCTACCATAATATGCTTAATTTCCATATCAGATTTGATTTGAACAGGGAGCTAGGATACAAGGTAGAAATCTGACAGTAGGTTTGAATTCTTTTCTTGTGATCTTGTATTCCCCAATTGTGACCCTTGAGTAACTCTAACTCAATTGTAACTGTTTTTCAGATGTAATTGGAATTTGTAAGAGCTATGAAGATGTCACTAAAATTACAGTGAAATCTAACAATAGGGAGGTATCAAAGAGGAACGTGTATCTGATGGATACATCAGGGAAGCTGGTGACAGCTACGCTATGGGGAAACGAGGTATGTTCAGTCTTACCTGTTCTTAGGCAAAGGTCTCTTTGTGTAGGGTGAGGAAACGAATGTGCTGTTGTCATCCAAGATGGACATAGCACTGAGACGGAGTCCTGGGTGCTTAAGGATCGGGGCAGAGAGAAGGTGAAAGACTGTCTGGTTTCATTCAGGTGTGATGTTCTTAACCTTTCTCTGACAAACTGCTGACGTGATCTGACTAATGTGTTCTGAACAACTGCAGACATTATGTCTCAAACCAAAAGACTTAAGATAACAGGTTTCTGGCTTAGGAGAGGATATGAGTTGCAGTTTGATTATGGAAAAGCCTGGTGGCTACAGTGGTCTCATTTGAGATGAATTTTATTCATAGGGTGGGATACACGTTACCATGCATAAATTACTGCTTAACGAAGGGGTTGAGAAGCTGTATCTCAGACTAGTTTAAAGCATCAGAGCCTTAGAATTTCAAGTTTGAGTAGTTGCAGTAAACATGCTGCTTTGTCCTGTTAACAGGCTACTTTGTTTTCCACTGGTGTTGTAGATACTCAGGGATTTATGTTCCAGTCTATAAAATGGGAGTGATCCTGCCAGCTTGACAGTGATGCTTTATGGCTAAATGATCAAGTGCACTGATACTGGAGATAGCTAAACACTGTTAACCATCTGCTGATACAACTGAAGTAAACCGAAGTTCAATATCGCCAAGTTTTGAGGCTGAGCAAGGTTGTTAAAGGAGAAGCTACTGGTGATCAATTCCTGCCGTAACTCTTCCAACAGAGATCAGGGTCTGCATTTTACACAGTCATTGCCCTAAATGCTGAGATGTGTTTTGTGTTTTCTGCATCTCATGGATACATTGAATGCTACTGCTAACTCCAGCTTGTTCGTAATCTTTAAGCACATGACCCTCCCCTTGCTTACTAAGTGATGTGGGGGTCCAGAAAATCTATACCTTTCAAAACCTCTCTCATGCCAAGAGGTTCTTTGTTAGTGTCAGACTCCTCGGATAACGAACTGATGGCAATTGAACAGCATTAAAGCTGCTATATGAGATTAAAAACAGAAAATGGAAAGTCAGGAGAAAGCGTTTTGTCAGCACACCTGCACTTCTGCTGTTTCAGTTGTAGCAGAATAGACATGACTGGCTCAGTCAAGCCAAGTGAGTGGTTTCATCTCCTGAAGGGTCTAATCTGACCAAATAATTCCTCCTTTTTGGAGAAACCTCCATTCCCATAACCCATTCCCTTTCTAAAATCCTCCTAATGGAGGGGACCAGTCCCTTTTTTCCCCACCTGGCAGTGTGACTTAAGGATCTCTGGTTCCCCAGGAAATGGTAGTAGGATTGCAGCTTTATTTGTTAGCTGCTTTAAACTCCCAGTGATAGCTTATCTTCGAAATACAGCAAGATAGTTTGATTCGCATTTGATCTCTTGTCGTGCTCTGTGAGTTATGACCACAAGTTCAGTACCTTCACTGTAGCACACTACTAATGTGTTCTGTTTTTTCACACATGCAGGCTGAACAGTTTGATGGTTCTAGACAACCTGTGATAGCCATCAAAGGAGCCAGAGTCTCTGATTTTGGCGGTAGAAGCCTGTCTGTAATGTCCTCGAGTACAGTTGTCATCAACCCTGATACCCCAGAGGCTTTTAAGCTCCGAGGATGGTATGACTGTGTGTTTATGTTGATATAAACCTATTAGCATGCTGTGGAGTATTTGTTTTACTGTTTTTCTCTATCAGAGCAGCCTGTATAGTCCTGAAGAAAGGTAGCAAAGGAGATGAGTTCCAAGGTTATAGACACTTCTCTTCCTTGAAAGCACTGGAGCCTGAAAGGCTGTCTTCAGTTCAGAAGCTTGTAATTCCATGACAGACCTTGCAAAATCGAAATGGGAGTAGTGCATGCTAACCCAAAGCCTTGGAAGGCAGCATGAAATCAGACTTGACCAGCTCCACTTTCTGAGGCATGATCTGAGAGAACACTATTTTATTCTCAGGCTTGTCTCACGGTGTGGAATCTGATACGTGCTCTGTATGGACTGGAGGAGCTATGTTCCCTTCTTCCAGTGTGTGTTCCTTATTAGATATTTTTCAGGTAGCAGACTAACTTTTTTTATTGCTGTCAGGAAAACAGTGATTTCTAGCTTCTGCTGTAGGTAGTTGCTAAATTGTCTGCTATAGCTGCTAATATGATGGCATGTGGCATGTGTACAAGTAGTGTTGAGTGCTGACAGCATCAGATTCGTGAAGCCTGGGTTTTCAGGCTTTAGTTATATCACCCAAACATGGATAAAATACAATGGCATCCTCCATTTGCCATTGGGCTGTGGCTCTCTCTTATTTATTGAAGGTAAGCTTGATTGTGGGGTTTAGCTATTACTGTCACACTTGAAGTTAATTTCTGTGAGTCTCATTGGTGCATTACTGGGATCACAGAAGAAGCCCACCGCAGCAGGACGGCAGCACAACCTGTGGCTGCAAAGCTGTCCTTTCTTACTTTGACAGAGAAAGCATAACCTTTTCAGTGCTTTTCCTTTCGAAGCTGCTGGGAAGATAATGGTAGCCCGTAATTTAATTTTAATTACGGGAATATCTTGATGCCCTTAAATCTTGTTATCTGGCTTCCTTAAGGAGCGTGCAGTGCGTGGCTTGACCACTAGCTGGCAAACAAATTGCAGTTACATAGAACAAAGCCCGTTCTCCTTTTGTGGGTCTGTAAAATACAGCGCTAATTAAGTCAGACTATTAACTTACTCCGAAATGCTATTTTTGTTTGCAATAGACACAAATTATTGTAATAGTTTCCTTTGCAATCATTGACAAAAAAGTCCTTCGTGTATTAAGTCCATGGAACTAAATGTGAGCTTTTGATAAGTGTGTATGGTCTGCTATCTGAAAACAGAAGTGCATCTCTGTGCCTCCAGGTTCGACTCGGAGGGGCAGCTTCTGGAAGGTACCTCAATCTCTGATGTGAGGGGTGGGCCAGCACCTGGAGCAAATACCAACTGGAAGACTTTGTATGAAGCCAAAGCTGAGAACTTGGGCCAAGGAGATAAGGTAAAGCGTGACCACTGAGTGCAAGCCTTGTGGCTTGGGGAGAAAATAAAAGGCTAGACTTCAATAAGCAGAATGCCTGCGTGAGGTAGTCCAGTTGTTGAGCGGTATGGGCTTATTCTCTCAGAATTTATGCTAATAAATATACTTTTTCTGCTTCAAATAAATTCAGGCTTGTTGCTGCTGTTGCAACATGATATTATGTTTGCAAGAGAATTCTCAGCCTTGTATAAGTGGAGGAAGGAGGAGTTTGCCCCAAAGATGGTCATATAAATAGCACAAAGTGTTCTAGGAGAAACAGGGTACATTAGGAGGAAGTGGTTTTCAAGGGTGCACGCTTGGTCAATAGAAAAGCTAGGAATAAAACTAGGTCTCTGGCATTCCAGACCAGTAACTTCTAGGCTTATGCTGCTTTCTGACTGATTTTTTTTAATTCTTTTTCCCCAAAAGCTTAAATGCTAATCTGTTTGGGATATGCAAGAACTTCTTCATCAGGGATTGTAGTGATAGGACAAGGGGTGGTGGGTTTGAACTTAAACAGGGGAAGTTCAGGTTGGATATAAGGAAGAAGTTCTTTACTGTGAGGGTGGTGAGGTGCTGGCACAGGTTGCCCAAAGAAGTGGTAAATGCTCCGTCCCTGGCAGTGTTCAAGGCCAGGTTGGACAGAGCCTTGGATGACATGGTGAGGGATCCCTGCGCGTGGCAGGGGGTTGGAACTGGGTGATGTTAAGGTCCTTTCCAACTCTAAGGAAATTCTAAGGAAAAAAAAAAACTTACCTGTAATTCAGCTCTCTTCTGTGCTTTAAGCAACCTCTGTTTATCTGCTGAAAGATTTGAGCGTGGCCTTAAGCCATTAGGATGATTATTTTAGTATGGTGAGTGGGTATTTTGTTCTGCAGGCTATAGTTTAATCAAATGCTTATCTGTAATACTACACAGGAGCCTTTCTGGGTTTTGTATTGGCTCCCAAAAGCAGCATAGGAAAGCAGAGAATCTTAATCCTGTGACAAAGTGGAGATTTGAACAGACACAATGGCGAAGCAAATATGCTTTATCTAAAGAAAAACCAGCAATTGGAGTTCCCTGCGATGGAAACACAAAAATCATCTTGCTGTAGGGGCTTTAGTTAACATAATGGAAGCCTGACAATTATTGCAACAGAGGGCTTGATTTCCAGTTTCCCAATAATCCGGAGCTCTTAAGCTTTCTAATCCTAAATATCCCAAGTATGGGGTGCCTTGCTTTGTAGTTAATTCAGAACTGGAAGACACTGGGTATTTTGAGGCTAATTTGCACACTCACTCTCCTAGGCGGATTATTTTAGCTGTGTGGGCACGGTCGTACATCTGCGCAAGGAGAACTGTATGTACCAGGCATGTCCCTCTCCGGATTGCAATAAGAAAGTGGTAGACCAGCAAAACGGACTGTATCGTTGTGAAAAGTGTGACAATGAGTTCCCCAACTTCAAGTACCGCATGATGCTCCTGGTGAGTAAATGGATTAAAGGGAAGAGTGTGTTTCTTGCCCCTTTTCCTTGTGCAATCCGAACAAATCTTCCCAGGGAGTAAGGTGTTGGAGTATTGGGATGCCAGTGGGTTCGAGGGTAGGGTATTGAAATGGCTTGTGTGCTGTACCTGAGTGAGGGATGTTTCATTGAGCTGATGAGCAGTTTGTTTTGCTAGTACTCCAATTAAAAGCTTTTTGCTTTGCCAAAAAGTTGATGCTAGCTCAGTTGCTTCTGGTTTCCAAGTGTACTATGCAGTGCAGAGTACAGATGGCCTACGCCTCTTCAGTAGTGAAGATAAACTGAAGTAAATGGCAGTTCTGGAGAGCAGTAATTGCACTTTTACAGCTGCTACCTATATTTAGTACATTCTTTTTTTTTTTTGGTAGGTATTGTTCTGTCTCATGTTTTAATGGAACTTGCTTCAGGAGGTTGTCTAGGGATCATTATTGTGATGCCCTCTTATACCAGAAGCATTGAACCTTGTTCTGGTTTACATTAGAAGTTAGAGTTGTATCTGCTTCTCAGAAGTGCTGTGCCAGGTGGGCATGCAGAGAGAAGGGAACTATCCCTGCAGCCTCACTAAAACACAGACTGCTTCGGAACAGTTTCTAGTGGATAATTTCTAGGAATGCAGAACTACTTGACATAGCAAAATTATTCTTGTTAGAATATAAAGGGGAGGGCACAGAGCAGTGTGTCTCTTATTTTCCCATTCCTGATCATCAAAGCAGCCAGGAAATGCATGTTAAGCTAGTACTTGATCTTTTTACTGCTCTGTCTTGTCCTTGAATAGTTTTGATAGTTTCCTCATAACGTAGTATTACATGTCTTAAGTACTCAGATATGTACAAAGTAAAAGCAGTTTGTAGTATCACCGGTGTCCCCCTTGGAAGTGGCTGTTCTGGGCTACTTGTTCTTGCTCACAGCTCATCTGTGACAGCAGAGCAGAGCTGAATATCCCATTAGTATGTACCGTTGTGATGTTGTTGGCCTTTTCGTGTGACACAATGTACTGTCAATATTAACTTGAGTTGTTACTGTGACATTCTATGGAGCTTTTAGAAAAGAAGGTGTAAAGTCAGTGCCTTCCACCCTCGGTGATGGAAAGCAGCTACAGTACACAGGGCTGTCATAGTTACTGGAAATCTAGAACTCTCTATAGCAGTGAAATAAATTTCTCTTCTGTACTGTCCTCCTCGAGGAATAGGCAAGTGGGTGAAATAATCTTTTGGGTTTGGTTGGTTTTTAGGTGACCATTGCAGACTGTCTGGAGTATCAGTGGGTGACTTGTTTCCAAGAGGCAGCAGAATTCATCCTTGGACAAAATGCAGCTTTCCTGGGAGAACTGAAGGAAAAGGTCAGTCAGTAAGCTTCTTTTTAGTGAATCTCTGGAAGTTGAACTGTGCTCACTCATCCTGCTCTTGGCTGCTCACACATTTCTTGCTTTGCTTTGATCCTCCTGGTAAGGAAATGTTCTTGTCATATTGACTTTGAGAGACACTGGCACAGGGTGCCCAGAGAAGCTGTGGCTGCCCTATCCCTGGCAGTGTTCAAGACCAGCCCCCCAAGATGGGGCTTGGAGCAAGCTGCTCTAGTGGCAGGTGTCCCTGCCCATGGCAGGGGGTTGGAACTGAATGAGCTGTAAAGTCCCTTCCATCCCAAACCAGTCTGTGGTTCTATGATACGATTCTATGTACACCAGTGCTGATTCATCAGCGAGCATGAGCTCATCCTTGTGTCTGCACATACAGCACTCCGAAGTCAGCAGGGGTGGCAAAGGCAGTGGATTATGTTGGTGTAGTTGCTGTGGAAATTAACAGCATTATTAAAGAGTGCCATATGAAAGGGGTGTCCTACCTCATTTGGCAAGAGTTTGATGTTGCCCATTCTCTGGGTGATAGGCCAGCTCAGGGCCTGCCACCCTAGGAGTGTTCTCCAGATGTTGGGCTTCAGTATCTTTTACAGATTCACAAATCACTGCTCCTCCCTAATCCATGGTTCTTGGCAGGGACTTGTTTACTCTCCTCAGGATTATTTTCCATGGGCCATCTGCCTGGAGACCAGAGATTTGCTTGGTTCCCCCATAGTTTGCTCCCACAGGCAGTCTGTCTACCTCCGAGTTCTTTTGGCTTTGAGAAATGAGATCAGCCTGTCCTTATCACCTGGGACCTTGAGGGACAACTGAGTCCTACAGCCTTTAGAGGGCTGACAGCTTTAACACATGTCAAACTCCAATAGAAAGGACAGTCTGTGTTATCATTGTACCTAGACTGGAAGCATCTGCAAAAGAATTGGTTTAGCCCTGAACATTAGCAACATTATCCCTAATGTGTTCCAAAAAATTGTTTACAAAACCAGAAAGTTCCAGAACACTTTGTATGTATCTTTGTAAGTAGGCAGGAAGCTTTTTGATCTAATACATTTTAGCCCACTGCTGAAGGCTCTTCTCCCTGAAATACCACCAGAAACTTGGTGGGTCATGTGAAAACGACGACTTCTAAAATAGGTCATTGGCAGAGATGCTCAAGTGATCTTTCCTTGACAGATTAAAACAGTTCTTAAGGTTGTAAATCATTAAACAGTAACATACAGTGTATTTTTCCCTTTGTCACTGTGTGCTTCTCTGCTGCATTTTCCTTTCTTGCAGCCTAAATCTTTTCCTGATTTTTTTTTTTTTTTTGTAGTTGTCTGCTATATAAAATCTGAGTGCTTTCATTTTGGTTTTTAAATGATGATATAGAAAGCAGAATAAGTCTTGAATTGCATATGAGCGTTGATGTACTCCCAGGCTGGATCACACTGGGGCTTCATAGATACACCAGTTGTTGGTTAACCCATTGCTTGGCTGAGGGAGGGAACTGAAGCAGGGAGGGGTTGTTGAGGCTGTTGTCCTCCTTGTCCTGAGACACTGGTATAGACCTCATTGCTCCTGCAAAGCAGGGCTCGTTGTCCAGTAATACATATACAAGAATGGGGTTTAGACACTCCTGCACCTGGCTGCCTAAGGTAAGTGGTACAAAGCTTACGGCTCTGGGATGCTCAGGTTTTGTGATATTATGAAGGCTGGACACCTCTGTTCTGAAGGAAGCTGTATTGCTCTGGCATTCTAATTAGATGCGCTTGTGCTTCTGCATTTCCATTCTCAGACATTCTTAACTAGTCAATATTTTCTTACTTCGCTCCTGCTGAATCTCTGCTAGAGTTCAAACAAAATTTCTTAGTCACCTTTAATGCTGAAGAAAACTGGGTGGGGAAGGAGAGACAGCAGATCCTATGTAACGGTGCAAACATGTAATGTCTTTTGAAGAGCTGCCTAATGGAAATGGCTGAGGGTAGAAAATGGAACATAATATGGAATGAGCTCTTGAGCGGGAATGCTTTGTGTTCCAGGAGAAATTGGTTTTGATTTGACACTTTTATGAGCCTTTAAAAATGGTGCTTGATGCCTTTTCAGTGAGCTTTTCTTAGTGGTTTTTCTCTGAAGACATGATGCAGTACCCTGTGAAGTTGGTGGGAGTCTTTCCACTGCTCACAGTGTATATTGAGTCCACACACAGGCAGTGACCATGCTAAGCATAGATATGCATGGAGGGTTTTTCATCTGCTTCTCCACTGTGCTTGTTACCAGAGGAGGTAATGTAGGGTAGCAGTGACTGGTATGCTAACGGCATTTTCCACTCACTAATGGTTAGCATCGTTTGTGGCAGAGCTGGAAACAGAAGCCAAATGCTTTATTAAGGGAGTTTTCTTATCCTCTAATCCATACAATGGTCAGAAGAAGGGGTTTTTAATATTCAGGAAGGATATGCCTGAATTCTGCAGGCTGTGAAACTGGCTACTCCTGTTCACCTTCATTTGTTGTGTTTTTCTAAACCTTCAGAGTATCACTGTGTAGTGTAAAATAGTGCTGTGTGCATTTAAAAACAGCAGATGTAGCACTTGGAATGGGAGCAAAAGTGAGGTGGGTTCAGCTCCAGATCAGATGCTCTATCTGCTGCTGGAGTGACTGATGAAGTCAAGTGCATCTGGTAGATAGGTACATTAATAATTACTCGCCTGTATCATCGTGGGGCTGCAGAATTGTTGGGGAATGTCAGCAAAGGTTTTTTTACAACTAATTTTTACCAAAATAAACTTTTTTTTCTCTACGGTCTCCACAACTTGTCTGCTTCTCTTCTCCTGTTTTGACAAATTGTCTGTTATAAATGGTGATGTTTGGTGTTCATATGGTAATTAGAAGCAGCTTATGTTATAAATATGAGTTTTCTAATGGTTATAAAAGCACGTTTGGAACATGCATCCACTCTTTTTTTTTTATAGAACGTTCTCTTAAATAGGTCCATGTCAGCATATGAAGGATAGATAGAGCCTTGATGGAGAAGCAGAGAAAAAGAATGCCTAATGAGACAATTAATGAGGAAATAATTAACTCCATCAGTGTTTGTGGTCACAGCAGAGCATCAGAATGGGCCAGTTGAGCACCATGAGAGAATCTCATGTGGGTTTATTATGTTGTCATTCTGTACACTTGGTTGCAGGTTTGGTGCAACTGTGAGTAGTTTTGCTTAGGGAGCTAAAAAGCCTTCACCTTGAACTCTAACTTTTTCTTTAAAACTTAAAGTTATGGTTTTGGCATCTAAACTGTGATGGAAGATTCAGCTCTGCCTCCATGATCCAGTTAGTTCCACTCTTTTGCCAACCTCAGCAAAAGAGGAGCTGTTCTGAAAGTTCATGGCCCTGTCGGAAGCCTGGAGTGGCTGCAGCTGATAACTGCCTTTGTCCTTCCCACAGAACGAGCAGGCCTTTGAAGAAGTGTTCCAGAATGCAAACTTCAACACGTATGAGTTCAGGATCCGAGTGAAACTGGAGACTTACAATGTAAGTAACACCCCCCCCCTCCACCGAAGGCAAATAATGCAGCACGTGGCTCTTGTAGGTTGACTTGTCTTTGTTGGAGGTGGCTTCCTCCTCTTCGTGGGGAGAAGTTTCCAAAGATACTTGCTCACAGTAAATACTGTCAGTGTTGAGTGCTGAAGGAGGGCTCCACTGTCACCAACACTGCTCCCAGTCAGGTTCATCAAACCTGGCTTGTTTTCATTCAAAACAAGGTGGGAGCTCAGGGAGTCATGTTTGTACTCCCAGCTAACCCTGGTACCAAGAGCAATATGTGACTGGGACAGAAGGAGGTTAGAACCAGATGCGTGGAGTGCTCAGAGTTCTTTTCCATGCCATATTTCTCTTTCACAGGATGAATCTCGTATCAAAGCTACAGCAGTGGATGTCAAACCTGTGAACTACAGAGACTACTGCAAGAGACTGATCGCCAGCATCAGGAGAAACGCTCAGCTATGGTGAGGAGGCTGGTGCTGAGTGAAGCTAGGGCTTCCAGGAAAAGCTCAATAGATGATATTACACCAACTTTTTCCCCACTCTGTGTGTGACAATTTGGCATTAGTTACACCGTGCATGGTAGTGCCGTGTAGTGGGTTAAGTGATATGCACTTGGTAGGTCAGAGTGCACTCTTAATGGCCATGATCCTGTAGCCTGTTGTGATCTGTTAAGCTGTGACAGCTCTGAAGAGGAATCTCTAGACAGATTGCCAGGGTCTTTAGACAAACCATTCAGAACGTCTGAAGTAACTGCTCTCTTACAATATGTAAAGCTGAATGATCTAACCGTTGTCTTCTTTGCAAGAAAGTAGTGGCAACCTTGACACTTCGACTTGTTCAGCAGAGGGCAGGAGGAAGATTGTCATACGACTCTCAGATCTGGACGAAGGAGAACAGGTCTATTAGTGTGAGCTAGTTCCTTTCCATAGAATTCAAAGGCTTTCTCTTTCCACAGGTACCCATGCATTTGTTAATGCTTGGAATGGCAATATGGTAGAATTATTAATCAAAGACATATCTCTTGTATCTGAAGAATATCCTTCCTTCAGGGTTTAATAGGCTGAGTCAGATGGGTCTGATATTAATCAAAATTGTCTCTTCTGAGGAAGGCAGATAAGCATTGACTCTCTATCCCCCAGGGAAATCTTGGCAACTACAAAGCATTGCTTTAGTTTTTCTTCAATTAATGCTATGGATTTTTTGACTGATTTTTCCTTTTTTTTAGCTCACATTTCCTGCCTATACATACTTTGTATGTCTGTATGTTGAGTTTCTTTGGTTTTATTTGTAATGATGTTAATCAGAGACAGGTCTTTAACTGGGGGGAAGCTTTGTTTCAATAAATACTGTTTAATTCCTGTGTAGTGAATTTTGCTTTCTTTGAACACCAAAGACTTCTCATTACTGGAAAGCAATTAATTAGCTTTCATAATAAGCATTCACTTGGGGGAGATGTTACCTTATTACAAACTCTAAGGTTAGGCTGAAGAATGGAGACTTCTTTGCCTGATGTTAACAGCATGGAAATGCAGTGATATTTTCACCATTTCTGTGCTGAGAATGCTGATGAACTGGCACTTCTGGGATTTTTATTGACGTTTACACAGCAGTCTAAAACTAACCAGGCTTTGAGATTTGTTCAGACATAGAGCTAGTACAGAAAACAGTAATTATGCTACTGGGCTCTTCAGTCAGCAGAGCATGCTAGCTCTGTGTGCTCCTAATCACATTAATTATGTGTTCCCTGGCTGCAGCTCACAGCTTGGCATTTACTGCACAGCTCCAAGCATCCAGGCAATGCTGCAGTGGGTCTCTGGTAGGAAACCTGAAACTTCTTTTGCATCGTAGAGTGCTGTCTCTTCATGCATGCAGTTGGTGCCCTTTATTTCCCCATGATTTCCTGTTTGTCATCTTAAGTCTTTATGTTTAAGCACTGTAAATGCCACTTCCATTGATGGGTGTGAAGGATGTTATTCTGGGCCCATTAATTGCACCACCAGCCCCTTCCTTTTTCTTGGATTCTGAGGATCATGCCTGGGTTCTTCTGCTGATGTCTTGCATATTTTTTATTGTAGTGTTTGTTCCCTCTGACCTTGCTTATAAAGCATTGACTAGAAAATTACAGTCTTCAGCCTGGTTTGGGATTGGCAACTGCTAACAAGTGGTAATGCAGAAAAGTCTTCCTTGAAGATGTTTCTGATTGTCAGGCCTGTATATACCAGGAAGGTTTTTATGGACCTTTCTGTTAGCATGTACTTGCTGGCATCACAGCTTTATGAGACAATGGTGCACACCTGCCTCTGCCAGTGCAGCTCGTTCTCCCAAGGGGAATTACTGTGCATCCCTATTGCTGGGTTTACTGTACCATCAACCAGAGCACTTAGAGATGGAAGGTATCAATACTCAAGAGTCTTAAGGTATCTTAGAGGATCAGCTGAATGACCTTGAGAACTAGAAGAGAAAATCAACTTGAAACCATTTGTGTGAAAAGTCATTTATTGAGGACTAATAAAAACCCACAACCTCTGCTCTAAAGTGGATGCTCATTAGTGACTGAGGAGTTGGAGGGTTTTAATCATGCTTTAATCAGCTAGTATATGATAAAAACATCAAGCTATGTAAGGCAAGGTATTTCTAGTCCAGCTATACAAGTACCATAGCATTATATAAGCCTCTGCTGTGAGAGCTCATCTCAAATGCTATGTACAGTTCTGGTCTGCTACGTGGAGAGGCAAAAAAGCATCTCAGCTGGGGCGAGTACAGAGGAGGACTACACCACTGAGTAGGAGAATGAAGAGCTTTTTTAGGAGGGGCCTAGAAGAGTGAATATAGCAAATGAATTCCGTGAGGGGGGTATGATTTCCCACTTATATAAACTGTATATATGTGTATCTATATCTTGCTTGCTTCCCTTGGTCATAGGCTATAGAACTTTTGAAGATAACTGGTTGATAAATGGTTTGTCAATGAGAAGAAAGTGAGGTCCTGAAGCAGGCAAGTAGCTGAGGAGGACAGCAGGGGAGCTGTGAAGGTGTCTCCACTCTCCCGCCCCATGGCCAAGTGGCCATGACCATCCAAACCCTGGTAAGATCAATGCAGCCACCAACATGGGCCATGGAAGATGGGGCTTTTCAGAAGGCTCTGGGCTCTTTTGACTGTGCTAATTAAAGAGGAGTGAGCATTCTAATAGGGATTACTGGTAAACAACCCTACATCTTCTTTCCCTTCATCCTAAATCTTCCCCTCCTAGTGTCCAGGCTATTGCTGGGTGGCTTCAACCATTGTCTGGGCTGAATATGCCTTTGCTAATTGAAAGGATGCTGGAATACCTCATAACTAGATCTCTGTGAGGTGAAGGTCCCTGTGGCTGCTAATGTTCTGCTTTGTATTGGCTGTACAAAGTGAAGATGAAACTGGGAGCTGCTGGTTTCAAACGGGCAGGTGCAAAAGCTATTACAGGAGAACATAGTGTTCTACATGGCCAAGGGAAGAGCTGGAGCATGCTTTGACATGTGGCATTCAGGTATCTTGGTGTTAATTCCCACTGTTAGCACTAAACTCTGTTTTCATTATACATTAAATTGTTAGTGACCCTTTACAATCCTCTGGAGAGAGGGGATTGCATTTGAGTCGGCAGCAGGGTTTTAAGATGCATCAGGTGGTTTGTTCTTTTGGTTTTCTGGTTTTATCTCCCCAAAATAAAGCTTTGAGGAGCAGCAGTTACTAAGAGCTGTTGTTTAAAACTACATGGTGGTCTTTCACACATCAGAAGCGGCTGCTCCCTGTGTGTTTGGTAGGTGGTTGCTTTACACTGTGCGTGCTATGCCTGGCAGCTTGGATGAGTGTGTGTGTGTGTGTGTGGGCTTCCGTGTTCCAGCACGAGGGGATTGTCCTTTTAGTGCAATGAGCGTGAGAGTGGAAAGTGGTGAGTCTGATTTGATCCTTAATTCTTGGTGATACTTGCTTTTGCTGTCCAAGATCACAACAGAACATCTTGAAGGGGGGAGGAGGAAGATGGACTGACTTTGTGTCCTGTTTTATCACTTCTCCTTTTGTCTTTTTCCAGCTCTCAAACTTATCCGTTTGGAGAAGAGCAGCCACCCCATGCAGCTTCCTCCTCACCATGGCCATCCTCCCAGGCTGGAGGAGTTGCTCTAGGGCTGCTTAGGTGACTCGGGTGGGACAGAAAGAGAGATTTCCTATCACTTGTGTATTAAAGGCTCACAAATCCATGAAGTGGAGCAGGCTGCCTACTTCCAAAGCCTGCGTTTAGGGAAGGGAGTGGTCTGCAGTGTATTAAGCATTATTAATATTGGAATAATGCAGTAAGTATCAATAATCCTATTACAGGGAGTGGAAATACTCTTTAATATATTATCAGTGAGGAGGCAAGAGACCCACAGCCCTTCTCTCGGGTTTTGAGCCTGTTTTGCATGTTTACGTTTTTCCATCTCATTCATATGGGTGTTTGTTTTTCCTTTAAGGTGGTTTGAATTGCCAGATGGATTTTTCATGAGGACTGATACGTATTTTTCAGTTGATTGGATTTGAATACTGAGGTGGCTGTGTTTGGGGGTGGGGTGGTGTTTGTTTTGAGGGTTTTTTGACTGTTTATAGTGCATTGATTTGTTGTTAAATTCAGCCTTGCTGCCACGCCAGAAGCGTGCCTTTGGGAATGTTTCTAGGCTGCTTGTAGTACTTTCCTTCTTCCATCCTTGTAGATAACTGTTCCTGCAAGTCATTTAAAATAAGCCAGACCTTGCAAAGGTTTTTATTTAATCTTTATTTTTAATTTGCCCCAAACCTCTTGTCCTTTAAAGGGAGATTTTAAACAAAAAAAAAAATTACTCCTGAGCTCTTTTTCTGTTGCCTGATGTGATTTTAGAATTGTAGAATCCCAGACTGGTTTGGGTTGAAGGGACCTTAAAGCTCCTCCAGCTCCAACCCCTGCCATGGGCAGGGACCCCTTCCACTAGAGCAGCTTGCTCCAAGCCCCTGTGTCCAACCTGGCCTTGAACACTGCCAGGGATGGGGCAGCCACAGCTTCTCTGGACACCCTGTGCCAGCGCCTCAGCACCCTCACAGGGAAGAGCTTCTGCCTAAGAGCTCATCTCAGTCTCCCCTCTGGCAGGTTAAAGCCATTCCCCTTGGCCTGTCCCTGCATCCCTTGTCCAAAGCCCCTCTCCAGGTTTCTTTTAGCCCCTTTAGGCTCTGGAGCTGCTCTAAGGTCTCCTTGGGCTCAGCCTGGCTGAGCTCAATGCAGGTCCCACATGAGTTTGTTCTCTGAGGGATGTATTTTCCAGGGACGGTACAAGTTGTGATCAAGACACCTCAAAAGCTGCACTGCAGCAGACAGCCATGTGGGGATGCACTGGAAATGGGCTCTTTGCTCTGTGAGTTCATCCTTGGGAAGTTGCCTGGGCAGAGCTGGGCTTGCTGCCTTATCTGATGTAGAAATGAGAGATGTAACTGTTTGTCATGTCCACTCTGACATCGCCATTGAGCAATTAAGGGAAAGAAATCTAATTTTTTGGCCATCAGTTTAGCTCTTGGAATTCCCTCATGGCTTATTGCACAAAAGCCTGAAAAATAAGAGTAATAA